GCGTGAATAAATGAAAGCCTCCTTTAGCTAATGATAAGATTGAGAAACTGATTCTTTCGGAGATGGAATTACATGTGGGATGAGACATAATAAGACTTTATACGAATATACAAGTAATAATCGAGAAAGACGAGTATAATATGAAATTGATAGGTAAAATATAATAATCCGAAACGAAATCTGCCATAATGCGTGGCAATGCGTGGCAATTAATATATAATTTAAAAAAGTATGTAAAAATGTGGCAAACCTGATCCTTCTCCGAAAATAGAAATATGTGATATTATAATTATCATATGCGATATGTGTGTTGGTTTGCATATGAATATGTGTCCTGTATGCGTGTCCATATGTACGTGTGTGTGTGTGTGTGTGATACATGATTCCAACTTTACATGTGTATTCTAACCTTAAATGAGGAAATTACATATCGCAGAAGACACAGAGATAGCAAAGACACAATAGCCAGTCTCGAAATTGAGAGTACTGCTTGATAATAAAGTTATAACGTATCGCTTGAGAAACATCTAATGGCGGAACGAAAGTTCCAAACACTCGTTTCAACGAATGTTAAGCCACCGTTGTGACTGTCGAAAATTAAGAATAACGAATATAATCATTACCTTCGTTCGCACGGCTTATTATCAGGAATCAGCGTTGATCGCTTTCCGTAAACGGTTGACGCAATCTCGCACATCACAAACGGCAAAACACACGCCAAAAAATACGTACACGCGCGCGATTTGTAAACGTGTCGATCAACTGTTACTTATTTAAAATCTTTGCACTATGAGACGCTGCAGCGCCATCTGACGGTGCCGCATGGCGTTCATTTAGCTTTGAATACCGAGTGAATGCGATACTCCGGTGTTACTAGTTACTTTATAATAAACTATGAAAAGTCTTTGAAAGCTAAACTCTCTCTAAATAAACTTTGCTCGTATAAACAATGACAAAATAAATGACTTCCTCTCATTCTTCTTCTCTCTGCTCGGAATAATTGATTCGCTAGGATGCCAAATTGTAATTAACAGCCTACCTGGTACTATTTAGCGGGATCATAAAAGCTCATTCACCTTATGAGTTTGAATTTCGGATAAGTAAGGTTTGAGTCTTGGCTAAACGTTAACACCGACGAAATGCTAACAAAGGCAGTTGATCTTACATGATTCAGGGTCGGTTGTTCCAACTCCTTGGTAAGTTAACTAATAGTTAAATCATGTTTATCTTTGTTTCCCTTCAATTCAGACAGACTAAGGCTAAAAACTGTCAGCCCTAGGTAAATTTTCATATTAGCAAAAGGGCCTCGAAGGGCATGGAGGCAATTCAAAAGTCATGACAATACCGATTAACTACACCACCGACGAGACGTATATTTCATAGAAACAAGGCGAAGATGAAATGTTCGTGTTATCTTCGGTATAGCTGAAGTAGTCGGTACCGTTATGACTCTTGAATTACCTTCAGGCCCCTTGGGGCCCTCTGCCAATATGCAATTTACCCAGGACTGACAGTCTTTAGCTATTACCAGAGAGGAAGCTGAGAGCGGCCAACACGGCGTTTTCGGCGACACCGATTTTTCGCACTGGGAATGGGCGCTATCTGCATCCATTTTGAGAGCGGAACTACGGTGCTACATCCACTTTTAGGTCTCGACGGTAAAACCTGCATCTGGTGGCTGTCCGTGCTACATCCACTTTCAGGCGGTTTATGTCCGTGCTACAACCATAATAGCGTACTTGACAAGCACGGTCTCGCGCATTGTTATGCACTTGTAACATGAATTAACATGTTAACATGCACAGAAAAAATAAGAATTGAGATTGCATATGATTAATATCATGAAGATTATATACGATTTATATCGATATATAAATATATGATAATAAAATATTTTGTGTGTACCCAAAATTATTTTTCCAAAATATTTCAGCGTTACGTTAGTATTTATTTATACTCCGACAGGCGTTTTTTAGCGCAGTTATATCCGTGTGCATGTGTTGCATTGAAAGTGTGCGTGACGTACGTGTGCATAAACGCACTCACACACACACACACACACACACACATACACGTGTCATACGCAACAGATAGAATCTCAGGGTATATGTTTAAACATTTTCAATTGCCGTACGTTTCTATGTAAGAATGTAGTCGGCACACACACACACAGAGAAACTGCTCCCGTCTATCCGTCTGAGGTCCCTACCTACGCTCGACTTGTTTTGACGAGCCAAGCGAAAGAGAGAAAGAGAGGGAATGTGTTCGCTCCATCTCGTTCTGATTAGCAACGTTGCCGAGATTGTGCTTCACGACACACGGCCGAAACTGACGTTTCACTCTAGGCGTGAATCCAACGAGATCAATAGCAATCGATTTCGACTAAACTCTTTATTTTGGACTTTATTTTGGTGCTAGAAACAGGCCTGTACCTCTAGCCGTTTAGGAGATATCGAAGGTTAAAGTTTTCCCACATTTCTCCGTTGATATCTCCGCTTCTACTGGGAGTAGAGAATCGTCATTTACGGGAAAATGTAGGGTTTTGAGAGGACATTATTTTGGTGCCAGAAACAGGCCTGTATCTCTAACCGTTTAGGAGATATCGAAGGTTAAAGTTTTCCAACCTTTCTCCGTTGATATCTCCGCTTCTACTGGGAATAGAGAGTCGCCATTTACGGCAAAATGTAGGGTTTTGAGAGGACTTTAATTTGGTACCAGAGCCAGGCCTGTATCTCTAACCGTTTAGGAGATATCGAAGATTAAAGTTTTCCAGCCTTTCTCCGTCGATATCCAGCCTTCCTCCATCGATATCTCCGCTTCTACTGGGAGTAGAGAGTCTTCCATGTAGTCGAAAATGTAGGGTTTTGAGAGGACTTTAATTTGGTGCCAGACCCAGGCCTGTATCTCTAACCGTTTAGGAGATATCGAAGGTTAAAGTTTTCCAACCTTTCTGCGTTGATATCTCCGCTTCTACTGGGAGTAGAGAGTCGCCACTTACGGCAAAATGTAGGGTTTTGAGAGGACTTTAATTTGGTGCCAGAACCAGGCCTGTATCTCTAACCGTTTAGGAGATATCGAAGATTAAAGTTTTCCAGCCTTTCTCCGTCGATATCCAGCCTTCCTCCATCGATATCTCCGCTTCTACTGGGAGTAGAGAGTCTTCCATGTAGTCGAAAATGTAGGGTTTTGAGAGGACTTTAATTTGGTGCCAGACCCAGGCCTGTATCTCTAACCGTTTAGGAGATATCGAAGGTTAAAGTTTTCCAACCTTTCTGCGTTGATATCTCCGCTTCTACTGGGAGTAGAGAGTCGCCACTTACGGCAAAATGTAGGGTTTTGAGAGGACTTTAATTTGGTGCCAGAACCAGGCCTGTATCTCTAACCGTTTAGGAGATATCGAAGATTAAAGTTTTCCAACCTTTCTCCGTCGATTTCCAGCCTTCCTCCGTCGATATCTCCGCTTCTACTGGGAGTAGAGAGTCGTCCATGTAGTCCAAAATGTAGGGTTTTGAAAGGGCTTTAATTTGGTACCTGTCCGAAGCCTGTATCTCTAACCGTTTAGGAGATATCGAAGGTTAAATTTTTCCAACCTTTCTGCGTTGATATCTCCGCTTCTACTGGGAGTAGAGAGTCGCCACTTACGACAAAATGTAGGGTTTTGAGAGGACTTTAATTTGGTGCCAGAACCAGGCCTGTATCTCTAACCGTTTAGGAGATATCGAAGATTAAAGTTTTCCAACCTTTCTCCGTCGATTTCCAGCCTTCCTCCGTCGATATCTCCGCTTCTACTGGGAGTAGAGAGTCGTCCATGTAGTCCAAAATGTAGGGTTTTGAAAGGGCTTTAATTTGGTACCTGTCCGAAGCCTGTATCTCTAACCGTTTAGGAGATATCGAAGGTTAAAGTTTTCCAACCTTTCTCCGTCGATATCCAGCCTTCATCCGTCGATATCTCCGCTTCTACTGGGAGTAGAGGGTCGTCCATGTAGTCCAAAATGTAGGAACGATTGTCTGTCGTCTGTCTTTTTCTAATCTACTATCCATTGCATGGAAGTAGTACGGACACGAACCTAGGCGCATTTTACTTTTATCACCGTGAAAGTGCGCCTAGCGGACGTAGTTTAGGCGCATTTTGGTCAGATGGCGTATCTAAAATGCGCCTAGCCGTATCCCCCGAAATACGGCCGGTGGCCGCTCTCATTCTTCTCTCTGCTATTACCTCGTCAGTGACGTCAATCTTGAAGAAAAACGTAAAGAGAATTGTCTCATTATATAGTTAGACCCGTTACGTTTATTAGTTTCGGAGTCTCCGTCCGAAGCCGCCACTGTTCCTGCCATTAAATCAAGGTCGCAATACGGCTTAACACAAATAAATCGTTTTCCTTTATTTTCCGATTATTTTTAATCTTCAGTTTCTGATTAATAGAGCAACAGAGGTCAGAAAGTCATCTTCTTTTCGAGCAGCACAACGACGAATGTGAGATAAATTCTTCTACTATAATTTATTGCACTAGAAAAATTATAAAAAGAAGTCATTATATTAATTACATGTGCGAAGAAACGAGTTTTAATTTCGAAACAGGTATATTCTTATTCATAAATAAAACATTTATTTCACTCTTTTTCAACAATTCAATGAACAACATTATTTCAATCTATTACGACTATTATCATCTATTTATATATATGCGATATTGTGAAAAAGGTTGCTCCACAAAACGCGGCACTCGCACGCGTTTGAAATCAGTCAGATAGGATATAATATGATGCGCTCTTGAATATTCACGTTTACTGTGTTCTCATTTATCGCATTCGATCTCCAGAAACATGCGCCAAAAAATAGCGACGGTTATATAGCGGAAATAGCGGAATAACAAAAATTGATTTCATTGTCAAGTTCGAGTTGTCAAGTATTTTGACTTTGGCTGCACTGCAAATGGGGTCATTCGTGTCGTCCGTGCGATGAATTAATTGTCGATGTTACGCAACGCATAAATATCCTCCATCGAAAGCGACGAAGGAAATGTTCGCTTTCGTGTCAGGAATAAAAGTCCCATGTCCCAATATGTCTAACAATGTTTTCGAAAACAAGTCGAAACACCGGACTCGTCGGTGCGTATCGAACGTTTCAAAAGGCACTAGTTACCGCGCGTGGAACATAACAGAAATATAAAATAAAAATGGAATTCAAAGATTAAGGGCAACAGCACAGGCTTTTGCATAACACATAATACACAACGCATAAGAGAATAAACCAATTCGTTTTCTTCATTTCCCTCCTCAGGACAGAAATGAAGAACTCTGATTGGTTTGATTCTCTTGTGCGTTGTGTATTATGCGTTATGCAGAAGTCTGTGCTCTGGCCCTTAGGCTCGCGTTAAACCCAGCAGGAGCAAGCAAAAAAGGTGAGAAACATTGCGTTTTGATTGTATATACCTTGAAGCTTGTTTGATATCAAATTTGATTGATATCAAATATATCTGCACAAATTTAATCTGAAAGACCTCAATTTATACATTATACCATTTTTCTTCGGTCTCAATCCTCAGTAATCTATAATTAAATTCAATGAATTTATTTCTGGAATGAAGAATTAATTTTTATTTAAGCGGCTCGGTTGTAGAGCGGCTCGTCGTATTGGACTTTGCTGTTCAATTTTGCTAATATTAGAGACTACGAAGGAAACAGGGCGGTTTAGAATGGAACCAGTGTCTTCCCTTCGAAACGAATGCATAAATAATGATGCCGAATAAATATAAATAGAGCAGAGCGCGTGAGATATCGCGAATTGCGCGTTTACCCAGCGATTATCATCCCACCCCAAGATTGCAACATATGTTTCCTAAAGGCAAACATGTCAAGACTACCGGTGCGCATAAACTCGCAGTGGATTTTTTATTTCGCAAGACGCGTTCTTCAGGATACCGTAAAACGGCAGTTCTTTCACCCACGACGACCATGCATCCGCCTTTGGCACGCAGGAGCACTGCATCGCCAGGATAGACTCTGTAACAGAATGTTCATTGATTAACAGAATGCGACAGAGAGAGACTTTTCAATCTCTCAAGTTCATTTCGGTAATTCGGCTATTTGTTGCCACTAAATCGCCTCACTGTATTTGCGATTCCCACACGTTTGATCGCGCCGTCTCGCCATTTCGTCCTGTCATTTTCTTTATTTTTTCTTGTTTGGAAAATTACCAATCCTTGCGACCGATTCCTCTCTTCCCTTGGCCTCTTTTGAAAAACTTGGGCAGCTCTGTCGCGACGTAATGTCAATACTTTGCTTTCTCCCTCCCAGCGTTAAATGAGAGCATATTGATCGTTCTTAAGTCTGGTGATACGATTTCATATGCCGGCATATGTTACGAAGGTGTATGTAATGTTGCGCGCGGGTAAATGCGGCGTGTCAGTGTCGCCGCCGCGGGCGGCTATAACTACTTGAATTACGAGCGTTATTTCCTGGCGCGTACCTGGTTGGTCGTCGGAATCCGTATGTCACAATGTCGTACTGCTCGGACATCCATGATTCATTCTGTACTCCACATAAAGCATTCCAGTGTTGTGCCAATAATAAAGGGCCAGCACGACCAGCGCGTGCCACCACTGGTGCGACGAACCAATGTAGTCCACCCAGCCTATGGTCGTAAGCAACGAACACATAGCGTTATTGTTCAACAATAATACAAAGCGCTTAACAACAACGCGTTCAACGTTTAGTTCTAATAATACATTGCGATTAGAACCGGCATTATCGCCAGCAGAGCGAACAGCAGTTTCGAGAAAAATGATTACCTGGGCAAAAACGTTCGGGTATCTTGAGCAGGTAAAACGTAAACGCTGTCGCGTTGATAATGTACATTCCTATCACTCTTGGAATGAGCATCCTAACGATTGGATTTTCTAAGCCACCCATCGCTACAGTCCAATGCAGCGTCGGCAACACTCCATATACCGCCCAGCTGACGAACACGGCCAGCTTGATGTTGCCGTCGACGTTTAGTTTGGGGATTTGCAGCACCATCGCGAATATGAAGATCGCGAGCACGGTCACCAGGTAGAATCGCTGCAGCTCCTGGAAAAAGTTGAGCGATTCGAGGCGGTGCGAATCTCCCGTCGATTTATACAAATCTCGGCACATCGTTTAAAATATCGTTATTAATCGCACGGCTAGAAATCACTCGTCAAGATGACACGCCGTTGCGTCGAAAGTTGTCCGTTCGAAATGTGCGCCCAAAACTCGGCATTTTCCAGCGACAAGAGTTGCGTGTACAGAAAGACGGATAACAGTGACTTATAAGTCTGTTGTAAATCTATACAAATTAAATGTCCAAACGACATCGATACGACGTCGATTTGAACTCTGAACGAAAAATCTGAAGATGTAAGTTTATGTATGTCAAATAATATATATACAAGTAAAATAATGAAAAATATATCAAACACTCATTAAACTCTACATATATACGCGCAACATTTTGTTGCCGAGAAAGTCGAAATTTTACTGCAAACTTCGAGTCGGCCAATCTTTCAATATCAGCGGCGTCAAAATGATGTCGTCCCGACAACTCAGTTCTGGCTCAGTTCTGGCTCAGTTCTCAACTGGGTACTTGCTCTCTAAACTTCTCAAAGAGAAATTTCATCCGAAAAGTAGAGTATAGCCTTCACTTGAATTCGGATGGTTTTATCTTCATACGTGAGTGAATTCATACTCCGTTCTAAATTGTCGAGTGGATATATTCGTACAAAATCGTACAAAATCGAAAAGTGAATCTGACCTACGTCATCACGTCGCAAATTCACTCTGATTGATTGTGACATTCATTTTGCTCCCACTTTGAATCTCCACTCGTCTCGAATGAGATTTCACTGTAAGAAATTTAGAGAGTAAGCTGTTTGATGGTACGATTGGCTGCTTGATTATATGAATCAACAACATAAATATTGGTTGCACAAATATCACGGCTGCAAGATTTATAACACAGAGAGTTTCCGAGACAACGATTAAGAAGGTTGCAAATAAATTTGAAAGATTTCGCAAGATCGATCTTGAATCTTTCAGCTCGCGGTTTCGTAATTCCTCGAAATTAATCTTTTCGCTGCCGGCGATTCCAATTACAGGCCAACCCGACAAGCTGGTAGCAGCAAGCGGGGTGGCAAAAATAATGGAATTTACTTTGCAGGATCAGCTAAATTAATAAGCTGTATTCGCGCGGTTGTACGAAAGGCCTATTGACACCGATAGCTCGCGGTAAACGATTTCGCCGGATGGTTACAGGCGTCGTCAGCAGTGAAAGGATTAAACGTGCCGGAGAATTTCGTCAAGACAGCTGACGCAGTGTGCGCTTCACCTTGTGACACCAGAAGGCGTAGTAAACACCCGACATGTAGATCGACAGCATACTCAAGGCGATGCCGAACAGGTCGAAGGACAGGAAGCACCAATAATCCTTCTCGCTTCGGCACGAGAATGTGTGGTACACTGAAGAGAGGATCATGCATACCTAAGGCATACTTCGTTTATTCATCTGTGTGTGTGTGTGTGTGTGTGTGTGTGTCTTATCACGCAACGAGTACGTATATACATTAGCGTGCGTGGTCGCTTTTTACCTGAAAACAAAGAAGTAACAGAGACACGATCAGCTTGTCGCTGAAGGGCGCGTGAATGTTCAGCAGGCAAAGGTCGTACAGGGTCAGACCGAAGAAGAGCATCCAGCCGAAGATGTGGCTCCATATGTTCACGGTCTCGTTTGTCCACCAAAATATGCTAAAACACGCAATGTTCTCGTCAAGTACGTCGCCGTTGCGTTTGCGCACGTTCGACAATTCATCACTGTCTCTGTTTTCTCTGTTTCTTGTTTTGCAAAAGCTGTAACCCGACGCGCCGCCGTTTATCGCGGATAGTTAAGATATGTGTCAGACTCAACCTCTCGAGGCACAGCTTGGTGGTCAAGTAGCCGCGGTAGCCACTCCGTATATAAGGGTTGTGCCGAAGATGCTCGGGCGCCTCCTCGAACGGGAGCAATCGTCGCAACTTGCCTTCCTCCTCCGGCGTAACTTTCCTCTCGGCCGTAAAGTCGTCGCATGCCTGCTTCAAAAGTGGAAAGTCGGTGGAAACGCATTCATCGTGTCAAAAAACGTAAAAATCTAAAGAAAGCCCCCCCCCCCCCCTCGGAGGATGTCTCATGTCATAGTATGCCGATAATTTTCATGTAATAACGAGAAGCCCGAGATGACGAAGAAACCTGAGGTGAAGAGTTCCTCGGGTGAATCAAGCGGCGAATCAGCGGCATCGCTATGCGAAGCAAAATGTGATTTTGCGGTATTGAATTTTAAGTATGGCTTATTGAAGTTTTTAATCGAGATACTAATTGGGCAGTAAACAATTTTTATTTACTCCTAGGTTAGCAAACGCTAACACAGCTAACACAGGTTACTCGTTTGTCCTCAGCCCGACTTATCTCGCCAACGTTGCGAAATTACGTAAAGCATTTACGTGAAGCGAATTACGCAAAAAGTACGTCCATAAAAAAATGTATGAAAAATACGATGCGCTAATACGCGTAAGTCGCGCGGCATCAATTTTTTAAGGCTTGCATAATCGTGTCATGTGACTATTCGGTTGTACGGCAAATTACGCAGGAGCAAAGACGCAAAGGAGAAAAGAGGTGCCTGTGGGAAATTCATTTATAGGAAATTTGTGCTTACGTATTGACCACATCCGCGAATCGCAAATACTCTAATATTCACGATAATGCCGAAGGTTTCTTTACTTTGCGCGTAATCAGAATCTCAGTAATTCGCGCAAAAATGTCTTGCGTAAGACGCGGACACGATAGCATTTCATCGCGTTCCCGGTATTCCAAACGATGCTTTCGTCGCTTTCGTTGGTAACATTCCTCAGCAATGTAAACTCGCCGTTCTAACAATAGGACGACTTTACGACACAATGCGGTCTTTCTCGGAGTACCTGATGTAATTATTAGAAAAGGAGAATGCCGCCCTCGCATGGCACAACTCCACGTCTATCGCAAAACCAAAGTTGCCTCTTCGTCGCTAACTGTAATCCCCACGTTAAATAACAATAACAATAACACAGCCGTGATTTCAATGTGCCAACGAAGCTGCGTTGACTATCTATAGTCAGGAGGGGAAACGAAAATTACAAATATCCAAACGTTCGCGTCTTCCGCTGAAATATTTTTCCAATACTCGTCCGCAAAACTCACAAGTTTCTCCATGATTATAAATTAATACAGACAAAAATAGAAATGAATAAGTATAAAATTGGAAGAAATTTCTCCGTGCGCGCGTGCGCGCGCGCACAAACGATGTCAGCTCCGGGAAGTAGCCGCGCGAGATGAATCGAGAGCGTTACATATATTAATACATACACAACGCTCGATTGATCCCCGTTCTGGGAATCGTAAGACACTCGACGTAGCAAATGGCCGACTTGTCGGCGTAACGCGGATAACACTGTCCGTTATGTCGTAGATCGGTGTAACTGCCGGGGTGAACGCACCGACCGAAGGATAGAAAGTCATTCGAATAAATTGGAGAAGGACCGCGAGCGACGAATGAGTGAATGCGATGTAGGATATACTCCTCGTGCTGCGAGCCGCGAGCGGACTCGCGCTCGCATCGAAGATTGCACGAACGCAAGAACGTTTCAGTCATACTACATGTTGGGAAGATACAAAAGCGGTAAGTAGGCCACAACGGGACCTGCCTTTCATCCGAGTGTGTCAAGTTTACGCAGTCTGCTTTCCTCTCGGTGCCGGAGGGTCTGCGGTTAGCGAAATCGATTCCCGTCGTTGGCATGTAAACGACGGCCATTCGGGCGATCACCGGTCGCCCGCTACAATAGGAGTAATCGGCGAGTAATGCAGGTTCTAGCTGCGATCTAATTGCGCGAGTTACTTCCTCTGTGCACGGCGGCGAGCAGCCGCCGCGCAGCCGCTCGCGATTATCAGCGGATTGCTCCTTTGTATTTATCCACGGATCACTGTGTGCATACGCCGTGTCCGCCGCAAGGCAGAATCGCCCCCGCCTCGCCGTACGGCGGCTCACTTCCGGCGCGACCTGAACTTCAAAACGCCCGGTTTCGACGTCGGAGACACGAGACTTATAGTTCTGTTTAGCCGCTAGCACACACACTTGCGCGCGCGCGCGGGAAAAGGAGAGGTGCAAAATTACAGAGATCATTGCGTAGCCTAGAAAGAAGCAGTCGCGTGTGTCTGTCGCATTTTGCAAAACGGAAGCGGAACGACAAGCTGAAAAGAAATGGAGCACGTCGATTGTAACGTCCTATACGCTACCGTCTTTGAATTCGAGCTATTGATTGCACGCGGCTTTTCCGCAAAGTGTACCATTTGTAGCCGATATCCGCAGCGGCATGTCAAACTCGCGAGCGCAAGCGCCGGCAACTCGCAATCGTACGCCTTTCATTCGGAAAGTACGAACCCATTTCCATTTTCTCCGACGCTCTTTCTTCGTCGCCTCGAACTTCATCCTTACGTTTCAGACATCTCGCGGGTGTCTCTGATTTCATCCAAATCTTTCCTCGAGTCGAGCTCCTCGCGGGAGAAGGAGAAAGAGAAAGAGAAAGAGAAGGAAAGAGAGAGAGAGAGAGAGAGAGAGAGAGAGAGAGAGAGAGAGAGAGAGAGAGAGAGAGAGGAAGAGACGTTATAAACGAACGTTGACTGACCTTGTTGACGAGCGGCTTGCTTGCTTCTTGCGCCAATTCCGTTGGAGATTGCTTTTCATGACTATTATTGTTATGCACTTGGCCATTATTGGACTCTTTTTCACAGTGGTCGCTAACCTCCTCTACACCCGCAAGTAGTTTCATCATTGAAGCAGCGTGGACCTTTTGTGCGACACCTGCTTCCTGAAAGACATAATGACGGAGTGATTGCAGACAGTCGTACGCAGCGACGGTCGCGGTGAACAACTCGTTGTGCTATCAAACGAGACTCGCGCGAGACCCGAGGTGGAGGCGCAGGTGGAGGAACGTTAGCGGAAGTGACGACGGTTAACGCTGTTAAATATAAAAATTGTAGGATTTCGTTGAAACGAGCGATCTGAAATTGAAAATGGGGCCGGAATCAAATCGGAGAAGAATGAAAATCACAATGGAAGTAATGCATTCGCTTGATTAAACCCGAGGTTTGTCGCATACGGATTACTTCGGAATACATGCATAAATGAATAAACGCTTGTGCGCAAATATCAAGGATATCCTTTAGGGGGCAGATATTGCTATGCAGTTTATATTCGCTTGTACGTTATCACGTGGCTTATCATTAGCCGATATTGAGGAAGAGACCGGTGAAAGAGCAGGAGTGAGAATTATATCGATTGCTTCGGTTAAGTAACCTACTCTCTTATAGAGATGTGCGAATCAAGAATTTTTATGTCGAATCGAATCGAATCGAATCTCATTTTTTAAATTCGAATTCGAATCGAATCGAATCGAATCGAATCTATGAAATTTCACTCGAATTCGAATCAAATCGAATCGAACCATTAAAAAATTTAACATGAATATCAAACGTGCAAATAATAATGGAAGATTTTGAAATGAAAGGGAATATTAATATTGTAATATTATCTTAAAATGAAATATGTATTTAAATATTTATAGTAATTTATAATTAAGTTATTAATTATAAGTTAGGTTAATTACGGTAATTAAACATTATTAATTAGTAATTAATTAAAAATAAGTTAAGGGTTCAAATGTACAGGCCCAGATGGCCCGTTTTATAACTGATACGCACAAACGCTAATATATTTGGTTCGTATTCGAATCTTCGCGATTCGAGATTTTCGAATTATTCGGACTCGAACCATAGGGATTCGGATTCGGATTCGAATAGTTCGCACATCTCTACTCTCTGATTGCTGCAGCCGTTCTCCTATGACATCTCGCTCGTGGCCCGCAAGGTGTTCTACATTTTTCGCCATCCATGTTCCGCGGAGCCTCTCGACGAGGAAAGTCCGAATTGCAATTTACTGTTTCGCGCGATGCCGGCGCATAGCGCGTAACTTTCTCGCAAAAGGAGACTGCCCTTGTTCGCGCGAACGAAAGGCAAGGCAAGAACCGTCGTAAAGTGCGAAATGCGAGATGGCCTAATTGGAGACGAATTTACTTGCACCCGGACGAAGAAGCGACCGATAGGTTAACTTTCGAGGAAGTGCTGCTCGAAATTGAGCGATTAGAAATCTCGCGGCCGGACCGGACACACAGCGACGGACTGATATGCGACTTTTGCGTACCAGGTCTCCGGTCGGCAAGATTGCCAAGGTAAATTGGGAACGTGTGAGGCCGCTGATACACGCGCGAGCATTCAAGGAGTAGGCAAAAACAGTAAATGTGCCCCGAGATTCGCGATGTCCTAGTTGGCTTTTTATCTGGGCATCGCGAAAGAGAGGAAAGAGATTGCTGTTCACTCTCTCTACGTCACGCGACGTCTAATCTACGAGAAAGTCGAAGTCGCTCCTTGGAATCCGTTGAGATCGTACGTCTACACCCGGTGAAAAGTACGATCGCGCAGTTAATATTATTTTCACCATTATTACATGTGGCAAAGCGCATGTGTGCGTAACGATCTGTATAATTGTGTTTCTTAACGAAATTTTCTACCGTTCCGCCGTCGGAGCATCGATTTCGTTCATTTCATGCGCATTTGATGCAATATCATGCGATACATTGATAAATAATATATGTGAAATTTATGCGTAATGCTTATATATCCGTAAACGGAAACTAGGTAATATATATTTTCATAAGGATCATTTTTCACCAATCTGCGAGATTAATGAAAAACAATTAGCGGAAGATGGATCTCATTAATCTCGAACTCATTAATATCAGGCCTTTATCGATGTATCACTCTTGGAACAATCTATTTTTATATTTGTACTCGTCAGAAAGACAAACTCTTTCATTTTTTGAAAGAATCGAGCTGAACTGAATGCTTAATTTGAGTTTTCGCTAAGGAGCGAAAAATATTTATTCTGAGGTAACTATGAAAAAAGAATAATTTATGCATAAATGAGTAATGAATGACGTTCAAACGGTTATTAAATTGCAAAAATATGATATGCAGCAAAGTCGACCGATTATATTTTATACTTTACTCGTTTTATGTCAGGAAAATATCGCGGTTTACTTTGATTCTCGATTAAAAAGTCGGTGGTTCGTTTGATGAATTGCAGAAATATCGAGATCTATAGTATATAAATAAATCTTCCACTCTTGAAATTGCTTTGTACACACAGTTTTTCCAACATTTTTGCGTGAGGTTGCCAACGAAATTGCTTTTTTCAGTAGATATGCTTCTAGCGTACGCTCGCACTCGTGTAATTTTATACCTATAAACGTTCTTCATGTCGCTTCACGTCATGCACTTTGTTGACGTGCACTAACTGATATCTCTTTTGTTATATAAATAGGACATTGTATATGGTAAACTTATCATAGTAGAAAATATAAAGATCAAAAGCGATTGGCAATGCGACTTCGCGTTTACTTCACAATGAAGAAATATCGCGGCTTACTTTGGCTCTCGATTGAAAAGCTGTCGATGATTTGTTTGTTGAATATTACAGAAATGTCGAGCATATGATATATAAATAAATTTCAAATTTATACGTAAGATCGCTGCCAGTGAAGTTGCTTCCTTAACAGAAATTCTTACACGCGCTCGCACCTGTGTACTTTGGAACGCGTGAGCTTCGTTCATGTCGCTACTTTGTCGATACGATTGAATGATATCTCAAATGTCGTATAATAAAATATACTATTATCGCCAGGTAAAAAATATCAAGAACAAAAGCACAGTAGAGATAAGAACATACAATAAAACGATCTCACGCCCCGCGACGCTTACGATCGATCAAAATTGCCGTATCGCAGTGAGGTAAATTCTACATCGATCTGTCATCGACCGCAACAAATGTCTAATTGGCGCGAAAATTTGCCTCATCCGTCAAATCGATAAGCGCTTAATCGAGAATTAAACGGAGCAGCTATAGCTATATATACGGAGCACAATAGCTATTCCTCTGATCGCTGTTGCATGTGGGATCTTCGATTCTCCGATTGCGATTGATAACGGTAGGATATGCATTTAATATGACTGTGCGCGTCACGCTTCGCTATCACGTACGTATTATAATGCGATTCAAACGCACAAGTTAGGCTGCCAACTCGCGATCGCGTTAGTGAAATTAAATCATTCATCAATGCTATGCTCCAGGTCACTTCCTCCGATTTGCAGGGGCAAAGTTCTATTACTATCGTAGGGTGAGAGAGAGAGAGAGAGAGAGAGAGAGAGAGAGAGAGAGCCATATCGCAAATAAAGTTGAAATCATCGAGCGAAGTGTGCGGCCGGTGTCAACTTTGGCACAGGGTTTGTTTGCTACTGCTTCATTCAATTATTTAGGTGCCAACCTCGCTCCAGAATGCGAGTTTAAATGTGTATTATGATTTCTGCAAGTGCACGAGTTCTCTCCTCTGTTGTCAATTGATATCAAATATTGGGGGAAAATAAAAGAAAGTTTACGCTGATTCTTCTCGAGAAAACGTGTCGTCTCGTCTCTCATCATTAACGTAATTATCCGCATCGCGGAGTATTGCGAGAAGACGCCAAATTAAAAATAATGTTTCGTTTCCGTTGTCCGTCTACCGTCTACCGTGATACCTCGCTCGCGTGTAGAACGCGAGCGTTTATAACAGTAATAAATGCACATGTTTCTTTCTACCGAGAGAATACATCAAGCATGACTACGGCAAAATCTCGTTCTCTCGGAGAAGGAAAAAAGAGTGGCAACTCTTCGCACTTAATCGCACTCTGATCTGCGCACTCAGACGAACATACTCGGGTGATCACGTACCTCGAGGAGAGCGGATCGGCAGTCGAAGAAACGGAGGCTTTATCGACGTCGTCGTCTATCGGTGCATCGGCGTACTAGATGCGTGTGCGAATCTCCGCCGCGTCTAGGTCGCGATTCTGATCGACCGCACCGAGCGCGGTGAGCAAAGCACTGGCAGTGGATCGCCACCGGATCACGAAACGACCGCGGCCACGGCAGCGGCGACGGCGGCGGCAGCAGCGGCGGCGGCGGCGGCGGCGACGGTGGTGGCGACCTGGCGACGGCGGAGAGACGGCCACGACGTCTCAGCCAGGATCGCGCTCTAGCAGCGGATCCTGCGTGAGGAGCACTTCACACGTTACGATCGCGAAGAGGGGCAAACACGCGTCACACTTTCACTGCTCGGACAGTGCGAGTGGCGAGTGTACCGCGTTTCTGTGCACTCAGGATCGGCCGATCAACCGAGAGGCCTGCATACTATCGCAATACCGATTTGCAAACACTTGGCGATACATGAGGAAGCGACACCGAGTATGCGATGACTGCAATCATTTCTAGTTCTAATCAGCTGACTATAAGTTTCTCGCGGAACGGAACGATCTGATTTTTACGCCGGCGATACATGCCCGTTATTTTTGGATATTTCTCTTTGTATTTTTATGTTTGCCTTCTTGTGAGGAGGAGGAGGAGGAGGGGGGGGGTTGGTTTTTGGAAACTCCTTCGTTTTGCACTTCTCGCTTTATTGCGATTATTCGAATATTTCTCTCTGTGTCTCTCGCATATTTCGTTTGTCTTTGTACGGCTCTCTTTCGTAAGCTTCGTTTCGTACTTTTCGTACTTGTTACGGATTTGTCCTAAAACAAAGTAGCATTTTGAATTTTTATGAGATACGTTGAGATACATGTCTGCGAGTTATCCACTTTTATGTTTCGATCACCCGAATGTAACAACTCGATCATTGCGTACATAAATTCATACGTCGTGCTGCTTTATATGCACTATTTTTAAAATCAATCTGATTTTAATATTACAGTTTTAATAAGCACTTTATTATTTATTTTTTCTTCTGTCGTCGCAGAATAAAGAGTATCGACGAGATAAGAATTAACAAAACGCAATGAATAATGGAACCTTTAAGAGTATCTTTAGGACAGGTAAGACCGCAGATCGCGCCATTTTATTTTGCATTACTTTCACATGAGAGTAGCCGCACAGTTTATATTCGAGAATTCAGAAAGATATACGAAATAGCTGAAGCGTTTTTAAAGAAGTTCGAAAAACGTGGCTGCAATATTTTCTGTCGAGGAATTTGCTGAAGCAATTATCATGCGAGTCTTCGGTTAGATTTGAACGGCAGGAAATACGAGAACCATATAACGCGAGACATGTCGCGATACCGTATTCATTTATCATGTTCGCGCATAGATTGACGGTTAGAGGCGCGAGGAAGAAAATATTTGCTATGTATCTTATCACGTGGACTTTATTATATAAAGGGCTAATGCTAAAATGTACACAAGATAAGTTATTAAAAATGTTCATTATTGCGGTAATAATAATTAATTACACATGAAGTCATCTTCTACTAGAGGTGAACGATGATCAGTTTTTGAGAGCTAACTTCTTTAAATATCAGATTCGACGCGTTCACTCGTAATTAAATTACAGCGATACACGTTCGTATGCGTGAGACAAGGTCGGCGTAAACAGAGCGGATCGCCGCATTACATACTAATCGATTTGTCTTCTCTAGATTCCCTTAGTCGCCCCATCGACATGCCATATTTAAGCACCGATTACATCGAGACTTCGCACTAACGCGCTTTACATGATTCGCAAGACAAAATCGTTTCTCTTACGTACTAATTAAGTAATCATATTTTTATGACGTATTAGATTTTATTTATCTATTATTAGAAGCCAAAACACTGCTAGCACCATCAAACAGTGCAATTATGTAGTTTCGTATAATCTTAAACGAACTATTAAACGCTGAATGACGTTTCGCAATTTAACAACACATTTTGTTCATTTTATATATAGCTAAGTTTTACGAAATAATGTGAAATCACATTGCCTTTTACCCTTACAGCCACAATATATCAGAAATACAATATTGAAATCGCAATGTTTAAATAACAGGTTCTATTTAAGTCTATCGTTTGTCCAACAGTGGGCAATACGATCGCCTGTACGAGTGCCTGTCGCAAGTGCATTATATTGTGGATGAAAGGAAACACTTGGTTGCGAAAACTAAATAATAATAATAATAATAATAATAATAATAATAAAAATCGCCGTTGAAAGAAACACCTGCACGCAAAACAGTAGTAAAAGAATCGATGCGAGTAAAACGTCGTGACGAGCGATCAGGCTGGCGAAATCCTGATTCGCAGAGCGCGACGCACAACTTAGCAGCGTATAATCATGCACTAATGCGAGACGAGTGCGCCGGGATTTTAGAAATCCGCATGGCGGTCTCCTCGTGCCTTCGACACACTTGTCTAATTTCTAACGCGGTCCGTGTATAAATTTAAATAGTCAGAACTTAATCGCTCTCTTATATCATTTATCGATAAACAGTGACACCAACGACTACGTTTCCCGCATCAGCATAAAGCCAAACTGACAGCCAAAACGATTATGAACTTGTGTAGCGAGAGAAATTCGCTTGCCTCCGGCGAAATCACATAGTACATTCTACGGACCCACGAACTGCAGGTACACACACCAGGGGGTAGAGGGGGGGGGGGGAGGTCAGACAATTAGACGAGATTTTCATCTAGTGTTTGCACAATTCCGAGATTACTCAAAGTCGCACGGTTGTCATTTGCCGATCAACGATATGCACAATTAAATTACTACGCGCACACACACACAGGAACCAAAGCACAGATTTCGAGCTACTCGTAGAATTTGTTAGACAGGTGTGAGGAATTTTAATGATTGAACAAAGCATACACGTACAGTTTCAGTAGTATTTATATATATAGCCCAGTCTTACAAAAGAGTGACCACATCGTTCCAAGGGACGGGCAAACATTGCTCACTTGCGTTAAAGACTAACAATCGATGTGCTGTCAGTTCAAGGTTTTCATTTCACTGAGAAAGTAGGTACCATAACGTTACAATTATCGTAAGCGCAATAATTGGAAATCAACCTATTAAGTTCAAATACAAATCCTACTTTCACTCTCCTATATTTTACTTCCATATTTTTATTTACGAAAATCAAAGCGGACATGTTTGTTGTCTGATTCATATATATAATGCTGGGTGACCACCTTCAAAATTGCCTCGATTGCCGTAGTGTGGCAACGTCTTAATATTCGCGGGCTTCCCAAGCCGGGGGAAGTTTAAATCGATCACGTTTGCCTGAGGAGTCTTCGAGCCCGAATACTGGCTTAAGTTTAAAAGTAGACGAGCCATAGCTAATTTCAATCGGTGCTGATGCATAAGTGGCAATAGGCTGGGGCTGTTCTTGGTGGTGTCTGGGTGTTGAGGTCAACGGAGGTTGGCGCATCACATGGCATACTTGCGCGTCCATTCACGTGCCAATTCATTGTACTTCTCCCTGTCAGTTTTGTATATCCTGGCTATCTCTGGTACCAATGGGTCATCTGGATTTGGATCGCACAGCAAAGAGCATATTGACAGTAACACTGTAACCGATAATGTAAATGACCAATAATGACTGAACGCTTGTCGTTTCCTTTGTGTTGTTATTATATAAATTTTTCTTCCAATAAATTGTGTTGTTATATAAATATCTCGGAATGTATATCGTACACATGCAAAGAGAATACACATACCCTTTGATATAGTGAGTGCAGGAGACCATTGCGATCTCAAAATGTCCAAACAAATACTTCCATTACTGTTGATATTAGGATGATAAATTCTAGTCGTGAAAGCCACCTGTAAACAACGAGCGGTCAAATGTTATTAACTACAGACACGTTCGATATGTTTCCTAGTTCTGTAATGTAAAATTAGAAATTTCATAAGTTGCACACAACGTTACATACCTTAGGTGGTTTGAATGGGTAATCTGTGGGGAAGTGTATTGTTAGGAAAAATACTCCTCCTTGATACGGGCTATCAGGCTGAAAGGATATTTAAATTCTTAATGTTTTAAAAGTTTTACAGTTAAATCACATCTATACTATTATAGTACACTTATACTTCCAGCACTTTGTAAACTTTTAGTACTTTCTAGTGTTTTGTATGTCCTTATTAAAAATATTAAAAACTTTTATTCAGGGCAAATAGACAAATTATACAGATATGAAGTTAAATAAAGAACACATAATAATTACCAAAGTATCACCAGCAAGTATATATCTTTTATATCATAAAAACTTGCTAAAAAGGATTTGCATATATAAAACAAACTTAAAAAGATATCACAATTTTTATAAAAATATGTGTCACTTACTGGTCCCATGATAGTTGCTTGCCAGTGGAATACTGAAAAAAATATTAGGCAACAAGATATTATACTAAATTAATTATACTTGTGATACACGTAATATAATCTATGTAATTATGATGTTGCTACATAATTAAGTTGGTCATTACTATCATTATTCCCTTCTATATAATTACTGAGTTCTTCAAATCTGTATGTGTGACATAAACTTTATATAAATTAAAACATATCCAGATACAATATAATTATATCTAAAAATAGAATAATGTATTACAAATAATATGCACAGTTCTAAATTTGTCGTCTACAATCTTTAGAATATTAGAATATACCATATATTATACTATCTCGGATACTTTTATTTAATGTAACTTTAATACTTACAATCATCTCCTACAGGCCCAGCCGAGCATTGCGCTGGTGGATCTCTACCAAGGTCCTGAAGTTCCTGAAATTATAAATATATAAAATATAGTATCGTGCAAAAAATTCTAAAATACCACGCATATATATTTTTTACAGACTTGTTATAAATTTCAATTAAACAAAATACGACTGGAAGATAAATAGATATTAGTCAACATTCTTTTATATGTCCTATCGGATCATTTTCAATATACACGTCATTATTCTATAGAGAACTTTGATATTTCTGAGCACACGTATACAATGTCAATATTTCTTTGTATCAATACACATATATAACTTTCTAGATAATTCTATGATATATATGTAGTATTAAACAAGAGTTTGTTTCACAATGACAAGTTCTCCAAATAAAACTGTTTAAGACCTTTCGTATTCTCATATATATTTTACAACAAGAATTGAAAACACAAACATCTGTCGTATAATATAATATTGACTAATAATATATCGCTCGATCCAAAATTATGTCACACAATTGTTACTGCGAAATATTGACAAAGATGAGACAGAAATTTTCCATTGCAACTTTCCATTGTACTTTACAACCTTACTTATCCCAAGACTAAATTTGTGGCTTTCGATGCTCAATATCATAGCCCATTTTAATCAATAATACAAATGACAAATCAAATCACTGGCAGTCATTGTGTAGCAATTTGCTGTACCAAACAACTTACTCAACTCTCATTACTCTCTCTCTCTCTCTCTCTCTCTCTCTACAACCACACACAGTGAGATTCTCATTGCGAACCTCTAAAAAGATAGCCATGAACACAGAGACATACAATCGAGGATACAGCAGCGTAAAGGCACAAAAGACCACAGAGAAGCACCAAACAAGAATCTACAGGCCGGCGTGCGTGCACACGTATACGGACGCGGGGCGTACGAGAGCACGGTATCGCGTTATTTTCGGCGATCTATCGGGCCAAGTCCACACAAAATTCCGTAGCTTCTCACTGTCATCGCGGTCGAGCCCGGTTAAAGCAGGCCGACGAGAGAAAGACTCGTTGTGGAGAGCTTGTTCCGTTGATTGTATATGGCGCGTTCGCGATCCGCTCGCAGGAGGCATACGATCGTCGCCGTCGGCGGGCACGACGGCAACGACGACGACGACGACGGCGGCGACGACGGCGGCGACGGCGACGGCGACGGCGACGGCGACGACGACGACGACGACGACGACGAGGGGACCGTGGTCAAGAATCAGGCGTGATTTTCAGCGCTCGCTCACATTGCTCCACACTGGCCGTGCGAGAGATCGTTATGGGCGTACGAACGGACACGAATACACGACGCGACGACGCCCGTTGTGCCGTGGTACGGCATGAACGCCGGCGGGCCTCCACGTACCTTATTAATTCGCTTTAAAGCCATTTGACGAACTGTGTGTTGATATTAACTGGTCACAAACCAGACAACGATACCCGCTAGCCGTGGATCTTTGATTAGGTATTGCAAGATGGCCGCCTCTAAACGTAGCCTCACTGCGTTGGTCAAGCGCACTGTTAGGCCACTCGTGCGTGGTTAGCAGGCGACGTTTCGCGGGTGAGAACAGACGCGCGGAGACTTCCCGGGCTCCGCTGACTGTCCGTCGCGTTTTTATCGCGGCACTTTTCGTCGGAAGTGACAACTTTTCGACAACGCGACTTGCACTTTTCAATCTCGCAACCGGCCAACAGCCACCGCGGATTTCCTTTTATCGGCAACTAGCGGATTTTTCAGCTTATACGCTCCGCCGCCGGCAGATGACGCAAAGCGCTGTTCCACCTCGGCGATAAATCGCAGAGCGCTCGCGCACGCGATATCGCGACGCAACGCACGGTATTATACGTAGCGACGAATCGAAAGTGTGAGCCTCGCGCACCGAGACGTATCCAAAACAAAGAGAAGTCGCGCAAGTCAGCGTCTCCGGCGCAGCCAGCGTAAATGAACTTACCGTCGATTTTTACTCGCAAACATTTCAAACGTCCCGTCCGGCGGAAGCCGCCGACCTTCTGTGCTTTCGCTAGTCATCGACGCGATCGCTTCAAACGGCTTACTCATGCATATGGACGCGTGTCGGTTTATCCTCACCTCGGTTTATCCTCACCTCGGTTTATCCCACCTCAATGAGATTCCCGAAAGTCCCGCACGCGTCCCCCCTGGGAGACCGAGGAACGACTCGCGGCGGCGGCAGCGAATGTTTGATCTGTTATTTCCTAAAAGGACAGGCATTTATCTAATATTTACTCGCAACAACAACAGGTCATATCCATGATACGTGTATGCGTCATATCGTAACAAGATATGATATCCGCTATGCGTCATTGCCCTATGATTGAGCTCTGTACACGCGTTAACCGGTCTTTCCCTCGAAAGAGAGAACACCTTCGCGAGAGAAAAGTGCCCCCTCGAAAGAAAATGCCTCTCGCCTGATCATCGCCTCACATTCCTCATCATCTTATTGAGACGTTGCGCGATGATGTTGTACGTTTCAAGTGCTCGAGGTTTCGAGATAATGACACGCTCGGTCTCTTCGATAAAACTACGAGTTGTATGACGTAACGAAGTGCGATGAGAACCTGTTACTCCGCAATAGGTGCAGCGAGACTTTAACCTTTCGCTCCGGACCGAAAATTGTGACTTGATTTCCGGCTGAGAGAGCGCTTTTCCCGAGGCATTTCTCCAACCCTCACCCTCGACAGCTGCTTCGTCACAGGCGAGCTCGCCGACATTCCAGCAGCCGAGGCAGCAGCAGGGTGGAAAGTATTTTTCGTCAGAAATTGCAGAGTCTGGAGTGAGAACGGCCTTGCAGAAATCTTTTCAAATCGATTTACTATCGCACGCGCAGACACATACATATATATATATATAGCGCTCATATCGACACGGTTCGCAGCCACCTTCACATTGGTCGGCTTCATTTCGCTCTCGCAACATGGGCTTGGCAAATTAACTAACGGAAAGCTAAGCAGAAAAATCGACGAGTACGGCCGCCGTGTGCCCTTCACCCTTCACCCATCGCGGGCTCATCGCCAACAATGACGACGAGCATGACGCAACGAGTCCAGCAGCTGTGCTCCTGCCGCATCAAGCTCTACGCGCATCAGAAGAAGAGGACGAAGGATCTTTGCAAGCGGAAGCGGCAGGCCTTCGTGTACAACGCGGAGGAGGAGATTTGGCACGAGCCGTATATGCAGTCCCTCCGGAGGGAATTCTCGGACGAGTCGATCCTGTGCGACTCTAAAATCGAGTTACCGTGGAGGGACATCGCTCTGCCGGTGGCTGGCATGAGGATTCGTCCGGAGGTGACCTTGACGGCCGAGCGGAAGGCGGAAGAGGCCGAGGACGTCGACGACGAGGCCGGCGAGGTCGAGAGGAAAGACTCCACGGGCCCTATGCCGTTACCTTGGCAAGAGCTACTCATCAGCGAGACCCTGGAAGTCGCGCGCGTTCCCGGCGACTTGGAAAGCTGCGACTGCTCCGTGGAGATCCCCTGGGGCGATCTAATTTTGGAGAAGCCGATGGAGATACAGCCGCCACGGGAGGAAAAAGAGGCCTGCGCACCCGACGACGTCGAGATCCCCTGGGACGAGATCCTGGTGCCGCGCAATATCGTCATCGAGCCTGAGAAAAAGACGAAGCATCCTTCCTCGGAGCAGCCGCCTCGCGCGCGCGTCCTTTGCTGCACGAGTCCTCGCTGCGCGAGGACGCGCGTCAACAATGCGACTGTGTCGTGTCCGCTTGCACGTAGACTACATACGTAAACACCTGCGTATACGAGAGGCGCGCTTTCTCCGCTTTCGAATTGACGTGCGCGCGCGACTCGCGAGTGGCTAATCTCCTCGGATCGAACATTTTTGTACATCTCGCCGCGCAGACGCGTTTCAAAACGAACGAGCCAGCCGGATGGCCAGCCTATCGGTGTCTCGTGACACGGCAGATTGGCGGAATAAAGACTCGACGACATTTTATTAAACGCGTCACAGAGAAACGGATCCCCCCGTCCCTCATATGAATCTGGCGAATTGGCGTGGTGTTTCTGTTTTACCGGCGGAGCGGCGACTTGACGCTAACGGCTCGGCGCGAAGGTGGCGCCGAGTCGCGCGCGCGCTTCGGCAGCACTCGGGTCCGCTCGCGGTCCCTGCGAATCGCATCGCAGCAGGCAGTCGGCACTTGCCAGTGGACGCGAACAGTGGTGGTCGGTCGTGAGCAACCGCGCGCGCGTGTAACCAGGAGAACGCCGTGCGCGCAGCGAAAATGGCGTAGCAGCCGAGCGCGTTGGCCGTGCAGCAAGTCTACGCGACAGCGATTCCGATCCGGAGCGTCCGCGTCAGCGCGCGCCGTTCTCTGGCGCGGACAGTCGGCGACGCAGACGGTGCGCCATGTTCGAGTCGGGCCAGTGTACACGGTGAGACTGCGTCAGGCAGGTGTATCTGTACAGTGTGTTGTACTCCGTGTGCTTGAGTGAGTCGCGCGCGCGCGCGCGTGTGCTGAGATAGATCCCCACGTCGTTTGACGTCGTCGCCGTCGTCGTCGTCGTAGTCGTCGCCGCCGCAGCAGTCGTAGCCGACGACGCCCGCGCGCGCCAACGGCACGAACGTTGCGCCCTGCAAGACGTGACACGCGCGACCTCGCGCACGTACGTGCACCCGCGTGCGCGCGCGCGCGCGCGCGCGAGACGCGACGCGGATGAGGCCCGCCGCCCGCCGGCTAAGGATGGCCTTCGCGAGCGCGAGGATTCGGTGATCCTGCCTGCTGCTCGCGTGACAGCTTGACGACCTCTCCGGCACGGCACGGCCGAGACGAAGATGGCGCCAGCAGCGTTTTGACACTTGCCGAAGGACCTGTCAGCTGGACTTGATCGCCGCCCGCAGGCGTCCCGTCTATTATGAGCAGAGAATTTTACGTACCCTGCACACCTTACGCCTATCAGGTATGCTTTTATGCGGCCGTTGTTTTCTTACGCATCCGCGAATGGCCGGATAGACGGCCGCGGCTGCGTCTTTCGCGTCGCCTGTCTCGCATCGCCGCGATTTCGGCCACCGTTCGCTGTGAGATGAGATTTTGCGTTTCCGGCTTCCCTCCCTCCTCCCCCCCCCCCCGTGCGACGAATTTCACGCCGAGATACCTCGGCGAAGTTACTTGTTGGCATCGATCCTTGCGTGTACGAGGTATGGTAGGGATATATATAGGGAGAGAGAGGAAGAGGTAGGTAGAGAGAGAGAGAGAGAGAGAGAGAGAGAGAGAGAGAGAGAGAGAGACAAAAGAGTTGGTGATATTTCAGGGACGTCTATCTACGAAGAAAACAAAGCATGATACGAGTGTATAAACCATAAGACGTCTAATGATGGCGGTAGCGCACATCACGAGCAATTTGTGATTGATCCTTCATCTTCCGTTTATCTTCCGACGAAGTATCAATTTCATTCCGATAACTTGGTGTAACACGAATACACCAGCTCGCACACGCTCGAAGTGTACGGCCTGGTACTACAATACGTGTCGTATTGTTGTAAGCCGTAAGAATTGGCGAATCACAGTCGATTATTACAAAAATAATCGGCTATAATTGGTCAGTTCTTACGGCTCACGGCTTACAACACCTATTGTAGACCAGGCCTGAATCTCTCTCTCTCTCTCTCTCTCTCTCTCTCTCTCTCTCTCTCTCATCGGGACTCGTCTCCTAGTTTTAATTTAGGCCTTTCCAGGTCAAGGGAGTCGCGTCTAGATATTCGTGCATCGTCTCGCAGTCTGACAGTTTGACAGTTTGACAGTCTGACGGTTGCGAGCGTTCGACGTGGGAAGATTCCGCGTAAAACTGACGAATAACAGATCACGGAAGTGAAGAAGTGTTGGATTTTCCAAGGAAGCGTCGCGAGAGTCACGCCCGAAGTCGCGAGGAAAAACACGCGAGTCGAAACGCAGCGCGAGAACTTTCGCGCGTTACTATAGAGTAAGTAGGAATTTCATGACGTGTAATGAACAGAGGACGATACACAGTCGGATGGTCGGTCAATAGTCGATACGGAAGCTAACGACGTTCAGATCGATAAGCGAACCCTTAAGGGGTTGACACTCCCTTCATCGGCGACGTAACATCAGACATGAGTGATGCGACGATTGACGGGGAAGCTTCGACTTTGCATCCGATTGATCCGAGGCGGCGAGCCGTCGCGGACGGTGCATCCTCCGGTGCTTTCGATCGGGCGAAAGCAGACAAGCCTTCTATAGTCTCCGCGATGAGCCAGAAGGTGAGAGACCGCGACGTTTGGGGAGCGCGCGGATAGACTCGTCGGATATGTACGATGCACGGTCGTGTGCATCGTAGACCTTGCATTTGTAAGCTGTCCTTTCCCTTCGCGCGTGACTTTGCACGTACGCGCAAAGTCACCGCGAGATATTCGTATCCCTCGTCAACTCAAACTTGGTTATCTCGCTCTTTATCATTAATATTCAGATAAACGTATATTCGGCATACTGTGATATCTATAGCCGCGAAAGCGTGTAAACAGAGATAACGCCCGATGGAAATTTTCTTTCCGAGGAAGAGCTCACTTCTTCTCTTCGGGGAATACGTGCAGCAATGAGAAAGCGCGCGTGAACTCTGAGAGAACCACCCCCGCGTCTCCTGGTTCTTTCGAAGAGTTCCGGCGATGCGCGAGAGTATTGCCCGATATATTGTCGTTTCGTCGACCGAGATCGATCGGAAGTTGTAATTAGCAGCGCGAGGACTTAGCCGCCGCATCCTGCTCGTTACAGTGCGTGATCAGCGGTGTTTTACCAGCGTGTTAATTGCGGAAATTTCGATCTTGTGAATAGCCGACAGCGGGGTGAAAGTGTATCTCGAGTGGCCGAGAGATTGTGCGAGCTGGTTAATAAAACGTTAATTAAGCAGCTCGGAGTTTCGGTGTTACGACATGCGAGGGACAGGAGGAGGGCTAAGGGGGAGGAGTGTTACGCCGCCGTTGTCTCTAACGAGCACTACACGCACAGATCAGATCGAAGCTGCTCGCCACCTTCGGTCACCCTCTAAGGCGTCTCATGAAATCGAAGAATGCCGAGGGGGAGGACGCGAATCGCCCCGAAGTCAGTTCACGCGTTTCCGAGGGAATCGAGAGTACAAGCGGCGGTAAATAAATAAATAAATAAATAAATAGGCGTACGTACGGGGTGTCTGAAGAAAGTGACAACATGTAAAACTCCGGTGTGCATATTGATCGGAACACAAGTCTTTTGCGCGCTACAACCGCGTAAAATTTTGTTGTTGACTTGTTAATTAAAGAAGACTGATCACTCGCGCATGATTATATATTGATTTTCTTGAATTAGTAACTCAAAACCTTACGCGGTTTTCCGCAACGTGGTAAACGTGGCTCTTTTATTAAGTTTGACTTAATCTGCAAGCACGTGACGGCAGGTGTTATCTGCTATTACGGTTCCATCTGCATCGCATATACCCCAAAAAAAAGGTAATTTCAGGACGAGCGGAATCACCTAAATTTTGGAGGATTTTATTCTTATATATGATCTCAAGGGAATTCCTCTAAGATTAAGAGGAAAATATTATAAACTGCTCTTATTATACATTGCTCTTAAAGTTAGAGAAATCATATGTTATATATATAGTGCAAATCTTATTGATTTTAATATAAATTTCCTCTTATACACAGATTGTTTAATCTTTTTTTAAGAGGATTATTATTTATCCTTACTGTACTTTCCTTATTTTTGATTTTACTACCTTATTGTTGTACTAGTGAATTTGAAAAAATTATTATAATGTATAGCGAAAAAAAAAATATATATATATATATATGTACTTCTGATTCCAATTCTACAATTCTACAATAAGTAGGCACGAATGAAATAATATCATAACAAATAAATTTCCAATCAGTTTTATTATGGACTTCATAGCTACAAAGATGTTCATCATAACCAATTGTATGAAACATAGGTAAAAGAAAGAATATATTATTCAACTTTTTGCAATAGATTATAAACTTGACCAAATATGGGTAAATTATTTTTATTATATGTTAGCAATACATACACTTTTTTTAAAAAACGTTTCAAATATTCTGACTCATGAGCATGTGGTTACTTTTTTGCTCATGTGTGGAGGTAGAGCATGACTGGACAAAATAAGCGGACACTCAAATCAACATATTCCTCTTCATATAAGAGAAAAATTAATTGATATAAGAGGAAATCCTCTTGAAATAAGAGGAAAACAGAATAATATCTAATAAGTTTTAGATGAATGGTTCAATCGCTTTATCGAGAGAGGAATCCTTTGTCTGTAAAAGGCTTCGCTTAGAATATGAGACTATATGGGAAAAATCACTTTACAAATAGAATACTTTTTTTGAGTGTAGCATGCAATTGTCTTCTTTAATTAATAATTCAAAATTACACGCGATTAGACTTAATTTACACGTACGCGAGAACTTTATATATTATAATCAGACACCTTGCATGTACACACACTCATGCATCGAATTTCTCCCCTCGTGTCGGATTGATAAAGAATATCGGTAATTATGCATAATAGAGGCCCCCCCTCAGATTTAATTTATTTTTAAATATATTGTTGCGGAAGTCTTCCTGAGTCGTTTCACACACATTTATAATGGTCGGACACAAATAGCTTCGGAAATACAAGCTGAGAAACGATGAAAGTAGTAAATATGAAAATTCATTTAAAGTAATGAATCACCGAAGCATACACACACACACACACACCGAAGGGGGGGTGCGAGGGGGCCTTCGATCCCCCTCGTCTGGTCGAACTTGCGTCACGTAGAAAATCGCAAACTCATGTGACACAGAACAATACGATTTTCTAAATAAAGCGAGTTTCATCCGTCAAGGGGAGGTGCAGGTGGGGGGGGGGCCGTTTGTTTGTTTTCAAAATGATTCTATTGGTTTGTTTATGTTTGAATTTCTTTATATATTTTCACCAAAGTATATGAAAATATAATAACTAAAATTCATTAATTTTTATACTTGTTATTTCTATCCTTTCTCAACCTGTATCTCCGAAGCTATTTGCGTCGGACCCTTATATATGTATATGAAACGACTCAGAAAAACTCCCCCAACAACATATTTAAAAATAAATGAAATCGGGGAAGCGGCCCCTTTTATGCATAAGTACCAAAATATCCATAGAGAACGCAAACGCGAGACGCGTCTTCTCGTCGCTGGCGGACGAGCAGAGCGCGGCGAAGAGCAATAGCTCGGTGTATCGGGCCGAGCATCTCGTCGCGGATGCAAGGACGCGCGAATCTCGCCAGGACCTCGGCAGTTATTTCTCCGAAGTCGACCCCGATGAACCTTCGACCTCCGTTACGAACAGCGAGCTCTCAGCGGGCACCTCGGATCGCGATGCGGAGAGAACGGAGCCGAGTAAGACCTCAGGGGACCCCACGTTCCGCGCCGGCTCTATTCGCGAGATAGATGTAGAAGAAGTACGCGTGTGACGTTCGCGGCTCCAGCCGGATGCCTCCGGAAACGGGCAGCTGGAGGTGACGTGTAAATCCGGAGTAAAACCGAATTCCTTCGGGCGATCGCGCTCGCGTCGGCGAGTCGAGGATCGCGACAGACGCGACAGTTGCTTTTATCTTTGTTTAATTTTTTTTAACTTAGAGATTTCTACACAAATGTCGAGACGCTTTGTTTATTATTTGTTTACGTTACTTTTCGCTCGTAATAAAGAGATAATCGCGACGCTCCGGTGTACCTCACGAATCAGCAGATTTGCAAATATGCTGATTGATTCGTCGCGTTTCTTTTCATTCGCCGGCTAACTGTGATCGAACACCGCAATGTTCTCGGACACTGTGTAGTTGACGAGCTACGCGCCAGGTAAAACCTGACCTGGCAATCGCGACGGACCTCGCGAAGCTGCGCGGAAATCCGTATTTCAGC